TCTTTGTGGGTTGCCTGGGTTGCACGATATCGAATTAAGCAAGCCTCTGTGTGGGATTTAAAGGTAATGGCTGCTGGGACTTGGATTTGGAAGAGAATTCTAAAGTGTAGAGATTCGGGGAGGCCTTTTGTTTCTGTCATTGGGACTCCTTTAAAGTGGGATGGAGAGGTTATGGACCCTTAGTCTGTGAAGAGGGTTTCAGATTCATTGAGACAGCATGATAGTGTGGTTCCTTGGTATAAGTTGGTCTGGGACAAGTACATAATTCCCCGGTATGGTTTTATTTTATGGTTAGTGATCAATGATCGTCTAAAGCTGCAGGATAAACTCATTGCTTGGGGAAAATAGGTCTCTGGGTTGTGTGTGATGTGTCCTGGTGGTGTTGAAGATCGGTGACATTTATTTATTGTTTGTCCATACATCCAATATTTAAACAGAATGATCTTGAAGAGGGCGTCACCACCAGTTCTTGATGATTGGCAAGCTATTCTGCAGTGGTGCATCAGGGAGTGGAGTGGGGATTCGCCTGTTGTTACTTTGAATCGAATGATTGGAGTATTGTTGTTAGCCTTGTATGGCGTGAACGGTGTTCGAGGTTGTATGGTTCTGGGGCAGCAAAGAGCCCCTCTCAGCTAGTGCTCGGTGCTAAACGAAACATTAGAAGTCGTTGTCTTCTGAATCAGTGTTTACTTGATTGTTTTGATGCTAGGGACTTGGGGTAGAGTTGAGTAGTATTTGGATTCCTCTTTTAGGTTTTGATGTACAAAACTGTTTGTGCTCTGAGGGCTCCATCGCGTTTTTTGCTATTGGTGTCGGTGCTTAATGCTATTGTGATTTAACCCAAAAAAAAAATTCAAATTGTTGCTCAATTCTATAATGGCATATCTACTATTCCCAAAAACCAAAAATTCAATAATTATAAGTGAAGTTTTTATTGTCCGAACACTTCTGTGAGTATGAATTACTCATACACAGAGTAAAAAATGACCATTGCAATCTTGAGAATAGCCATAAATATAAATCCAAGTTGAACCGCCTATCTTCACCATCTATCCATTAATAGAGGGGTTTGAGCAAGATTGTCAGTTTGCGGGTGGACCCATCGGTTGACCCGGTTTGATCCGGATCTGTTGAGAAACATGGATGTCACACTCGCATGTCAACTTGTATCTAGTTTTTCGAGTTGGAGGTAACACGACGCCGATTTTTACTCGTGATACAATATAATTACTTTTTCATATATTCGAACTAAACCAGACATAATTTATAAATTTATCTGTTAGTACTCATATGTTAAATGAGATTTCTTATAATTTATAAATATATGAATAACAAAAGAATTTAAAAGCAATCAACGCTCAGCCTTTTCCAGTCCAATGTGGTAAATTCAAACTTACCTAAAACTGTCCACATGTGATCGCAAAACCATTATGTGAATAGTAGATTCCCTTTTTTTTCTCTTCAGGAACAGTAAATTAAATTTTTTGAAATTTTAACCTTCTTTTAAAACTGAAAATCCGGTTAATTTGGGGTTTAGATAGCGTTCTCTTCTCTAGCCCAAGGTATGTGGTACCCTATATAGTGGCTTCTATCATACCTTGGGTAAAATCTAGGTATATATATACACCAGTAAGGACGAAATGAGACACAAATTTGAAATTAACGTGAAAATAGTTTGCAAAGTAAATGATACTGGAAATGACCAATTATGCTCAAAACAAATATTGGAGATGACCACATTAGCAAAAAGTAAATACTGGAGATGTGAGTTTTGCTGAAGATAAATACTAGAGATGACCAGATTATGCATTAGGGTTGTGTAAATGTTAAGTTTTCATGTGTTTGCGGACCAATGGATGTTTTGGATTGATTATTCATTGATCAAAATTGTTATGCATCGAAATTTGGAAGTTGGAATGAATGATTGAACATCTAGGTAGCCATGTGAGATTTGTGCCGCTCGTTTTCTTTCTTGTATGATAGATCCCTCTTAACATGATGTGTAGCATTCACATTGTCACTAGCAAGGAAGATGGAGGCATAGGTTTAGTCCACGACCCAAATTTTGACTTGTCCCAATTGAATTATCCCCTAGTCAACCCTTTTGAGCTGTGTATCTAAGGGTCACTCTCGTGTTAGGTAACTCCCGCTGCTTGAGCTTGATTGATTTGATAGAGCAACCCTACTTTCTTCGTGTCTACACCATTATCGAGTTACCGTTTGTGTTTGGAAGCTCCATTCATACCATTTGAGCTTAAATGAGGTTCCCATGAGTGATTTGTGCATGGTTTTGCTAAGAATGAAAAAGTGAGTGTTGGAGGTAGTTCTTATTAAGTGAGCACTGGTTATGAAGTTTCAAGAGTGTGGCATGTTTTAGGCCTCTACTAGCCCTCAAAGGTAAGAGAAAAGAAGAAAAAGAAATGAAAAAGAAAGCAATAAAACGGGCAAAGAAAAAAAGAGAGTGGCCACCAAAATGTGTATATGCTCTAAAAATGTTTGTGTACCTCCACTCTTTTGCTTGAAAAGTTTGAAATCAAGTGTAGCAAAGAAAGTTTGTTGTGAATGGTTTGGTAATTGGTTGTGGTTTGGAATAGTGGGAAGTGTGGGTTTTGGCCAATGCTAATAGCCATTGTTTGTAAAAGAAGGTTCTCGTCGAAATCATAGAACCTTGTGTTGGTTTTAGGTTGAAGATGTGGAATCTCATGCTATGTCTGCCACCACCCAAAAAGTCTTTTTCTCCATATCCTAGATCCCTAACCAGTCATCTGAATCTGTGTCTAAGACCTCCGGACAAGCTAGTGAGGACAACCATCTTGCAAGCTCTAGCATTTAGAGGTTACCATCATGGTGTAGTGACGATAGGGTTGAGCGTTTGAGTATGCACATATTTTGCATCAAAATGGTCCTGACCACAATACGAGTTTGGGACATGAGATGAAGTTTCCTCTATAAATGAGATTGGGTACCCGTTTCAAACAGGATGGGTATGCCCCACCCCTATAATCTTTTAGCACTCTGAAGTGCTTAGACTGAACCCTCAGTGAAAATCAATAGGTCATCCACAAAACATAAAATGTGTCCACTCTATTAATTTAGATCGAAGATGGTATTAAAGCCTATTCTCATTAGCTACTTTGTAGTAATCACCGTGGTTACTAAGGGTAAATTGGGTATGAAAAATAAATTGTATTAATTAATTTTTTTAATAAATTACATTTTAGGTAGTTACAAGAATATATTAATTATAATTCTATCTCTTTCTATCACTTCCATAGTCTTCAGCCAGATCCCCTTTCCTTATTTTTCTCAATCTTTCTGCAAAAAAAAAAAACACGAAATCACTACCAACCCATTAGACAACCACTACCACTTTGAAAAATATCAATACCATTGCAAAAATAAATCTATACCATTACACGAAAACTACCGATATAAACAATCTACCAATATAAATCTATACCATTTCACAAAAAATCAATACCAATACATGCAAATTAATACCATTACATGATAATCAACATCAATGCGACAAAACAATACCAACCGAAAAAATCACTACCAATGCGGAAAAAATTAGATCTATGGTTTTTATTTATCCCACATTTTCCAGCCGCCTGTGTGAGAGAGATTGCGAGGGGAGTGAGTGAAACCTTCAAAGCAACCATCTAGTCCTGTATTCTCTAGTCAATTCCCCCAATTTCTTTATGTTTCCTAGTCGTCATTTGCAGGAGAGATAGAGGGGGATGAAGAGGCGGGGGGTTGTGGGTGGAGTGGGTTTTGCAGGAGAGGGGAAATGGGGGTGGGGTGAGGAGGAGGAGGAGGGATGGGGGAGGGGGGAGAGAGGGCAGGGAGGAAGTTTGAGATGGGGACGGCGGCGGCAGGAGGTGGAAGTTGGAGATGGGGACAGCGGTCGGGGTTGGGATGGGGCAGAGGGAGGAGGGAGAACTTGCGGAGGGTTTGGATGGAGCGAGAAAGTATAATTAGGGTTAGGGTAGAATATATAGAATAATCAGGTGTGATTTTATGTTTTCTTCCAAAATTGCCCTGAGACAATCTCAACCGTGAGATTAAAAAAATAGAAAAAAGTGAAAAATAAATGGTGGATACTAGCGTAGTCACGGTGGCTACTAGAATTCTAGTAACCACCTTAACACGTTCCGGATCCCCTGCCTTATCCATTTCTGAGCCGGAAAGAACCCAAATAAACTCCTTTGAACAGTAACACTAAAGCTAGTTGTAGTTGTAGTTGTAGTAACACAAGTTCTTACCCATTCTATACACCGACTTAGAAATTCTGCACTTCCATGACAAATAATAAGAACTCCGAATTAATTGAGTAAAATGCCTTCATCCAGATTAATATTTACTGCATTTCGGAATGCTATGCCTTTTTATAGTAAAATTAAGACATTTTGTCCATGTATTTTTTGCCGAGGCAATGTTAGCGAGCTAATGCAAATAGTAAGACTGTAAGAGGGATTCATTCCGCGGAAATATAATAATAGGAGCTCGTTGGCTATATTTACATAGTATAGGGACTTGTATAGTTATTAATCCCAAAATAAACAATTATTCGTTCTTTTCTCATTTTATTTTCTACCTTTTCAATTTTCATTTTTGTGTGGCAATCTCGCCACCTCCGTTCTCCTCTACAAATTCAGTAACTGTCCACAGATTCTTGGACTTTCTCCTCCTCCTCTGATTCCAGAACAGGTTAGTTCAGCTTCTTCCCCTCCTCTATCTCCATGCAGTGCTCGCTCTCGTTAAAGTTGAATCAGTAGCCATTTCAGAAATTTGCCCTAGTTTTATACAACAGGCTGCTAATGCTATTTGTTTCTCTGCTTCTGCATATACACGAATTGCTCTGATTAGTGATACGGGTAGAATTGCTTAATCCCGCGCAATTGAGGTCTTATACCTCCATTCTGTTGATTAGATCCTTACTGTTCCTTTTGTTTCATTAAAGCCAGTAGTGGGAACTCCTTTTAGGTGTTCAGGATATGACGAGCATCGTGTCATCGAACCACCGTAGTTATTGGTCGGTAGGAGGAGGAGGAGGAGGAGTTCATAATCAGGAACATCTTATTTGGGGTTTTACAAAAAGATCGAGCAATAATAAGCTTCCACACTCCAGCAGAGGCCATAATTCTCATTATCAACACCATGTTGGGGCATATGCACATAGCTTGCCTCGCGGAAGATTGATATTCTCAAATGGTTCTTCTCATTCATCCGGTGCTTCTAGCTCCCACAAGAGATGCAGGCCTGCGTTTGCCACTGTGGTGGATGGTGGTGGTGATGGTTCAGATGATGATGATGATGATGATGCAGAAGATGGAAATAAGGATGACCCTTATTCTAAGGGAAGTGCAGCTGATGGGGTATGTCAAAACTTTCTGAGCTATGATCCATGGTCTAGACTTTCCATTCATCAGATTGATATGCTAGCCTGCCTCTTGTCCGATTACGAAATGATTTAGTACCTGATTCTGGTTTCAGGCAGGTAAGGATGCAGTCAGAGAGAACCTTGAGAGAATCGTGGGCAGAGATGATTCGAAGTTCAGTGGGATAGACCTTGCCACGCTAATCAGGAACAAGTACGGGAGGTCTTATGATGTTCAACTAATAAAGAAGGTAATATACATGGGTGGAGTACATATCTTTTGATGGATTCTATAACTTCTCTCCTCGTTTCATAGGTGATCAGTCCATTCATTCACTCGCTTTCATGTGCTTGATGAACTCTAAACTATTGGGACATGGAATGGATATGTAACCGTACCCTTCTAAACCAGCTTCCCTGATACCCGATTCATGCTATTGATCAGCTATTTTCAAATGTCTTCGATAAATTGTTACTTCCCTGTGCTTTAACAAACATTTCTTTCAACTGTAGTAAAAGATTTGGAACCTAGTGTTAGCAAGACACGGGCAGAACGATAGAACTTTGTATGGATATTAGTTTACCGCAAAAATGGACTATGTGTGTGATGATTCCTATATGAAGGTGTTGCTTTTCTTCTCTGCCTCTTGTTGTGAATAACGCTGATTGTAGTGATGCCGGTGGTGTAGGAGTTCATGGGGAGAAACCTCCTGGCTTTGAATGTAATGTGGAAGTATATGGAGCAGGTAAAAGCATAACCCTGATATGTGCACCGTGTTTGAGTAATTTTGGCTGTGACTAACTAACCAGTGTTTTATTTTATCCTTTTTGATCGGGTTGGCATCACGATTGGGGATCAGCAGAGGTCGTTTCCGCTAACTGAAGAAGAGTATTTGTTGAGACTGGACGACGTGGCTAACACATTGAAGTGTTGGGGGGCAGTCTCCCATATCAGGAACAGCTTGGAGAAGTTGAAAGAGCGACCTCGCATTGGCAAGGTGAGAACTTCCCCTGCTTTTTATAGTCTCATGTGTTTGCTTCGGCTATTGATGTTATATGTCTCAATTGTATGTTATCATGTAAGATGTATGTGCAATACCATAGTTTAGGTTAGTGTATTTATGCTGGAAATCGGCCTCGAAATTTTATAGAGTGCAATTTCAGATACTTCTCATCTCGCATATATATACGATTGAATCATTTTGATGCAAATGTGACTGCATGTGCATTTAAAATTTCACTCAATTACACTACAAGTATCGACGACGAAAAACTATGCATTGTTCAATTGTATGATATTATGAATATGCTACACCCGAACCATACGTCTTCTCTACTTCTTCCGAATATCTGTAGTTCAATACTGTATAGCTGTTTCGTTTTTTTGAACTTTATAGTTAAGAGTAAATGATTTTGGTTTTGGTTTTCATTGATGGGGTTTGCAGGCAGTTAGCATTTTCATAGACATGGACGAGACTGGAGGCCGTGCAAATGAATGGATTTACAAGTAGATAATAGAAGAAAGTGTATAGATTTTGCAGTCTGTTGTAAACCAAAGCACACCACCAACACAGACCATTTTGTATCTCCTTTTTGCTTAAATTCAGTTCCATTTGTCTACAAACTAATTGCTCCGAAACATACCAGAAAGACCATTTTGTTTCTCCTCCTTTTTAATATCTCAGATCCAAGCTGTATATGATACCATGGGTGTTAGGATAATCCCATTTTCTACAAAATAATAATAATAATAATAATTACAATAATAAGGATATGTATATTTTTTATGGTTAAAATAAATAAATAAATATAGGAGAAATAAATTATTTATGAAGTGTTCTCGTGATGCATATTACAAAAAGTAGCGAGAGGGATGAGTTAGAGTGACAACGGTTATTTTAGTAGTTATGGTGGCTACTAAGCTTTATACGGTTTATTTTCCTTCTTTTTAAATTAAAGGTCAAGATTGTCTAAATGATAGTTTAACGATTATAGCTCTTTAAAACCTAACATTTCCTCACCCTGTTGTCAACTAAAGCGGTGATCACTTCCCCGATGTTGATTAAAGTGGTGATCTATTCCCCGCTTCAAGCCAAAACGGTGATTCATTCCCCGCTTTTAACCTCAACGGTGATAGTCTTCCTTGTCTTAGACAATGGTGGTGAACATAAAACATGTGTACATTCGATTTTTTTTTTAATAACTTATATATTTTTGGGAATACTTTTTAAAAATTAGTCTATTTTGGAATTTTTTTTTCCATTAAATTTCCTAGTCCATCAAAACCCGTTGTCTAGCTTATTAGGCCTTGGAAACAAAAAGTAATCTTCGAATTAGATTTACACATTCCAAGTTCGTTGGTACGAAAAATTGAATAAGTCCACTTAACCGGCTACATTTTGTTTCTCTCGCAGAGAACGAAAGAAGGCTGGCCAAGGAAAGCGAAATTAAACTGGACAAAATGAATGAAATCAGCCGGAGATTTAGGTTTCGTTTGGAATTTGCGATTGTTAAATAGATGTATTGTTGATAATGTATGTACAATATTATACATGTATTATCGAATTTGATGCATTGTAGAATACAACGTTTGGTATGTGTGATTGTGTATGTCGCATCAGCTAAAAGCTAAGATAAAACGATCTCAACTCAACTATCTCAACAATCACAACTAAAAGTTGAGATATAACAATCACTCAAAATGAGTTATAGTTTCTGTCACATCATAGAAACAATCCATGTATTGTTTCTGAAAAAAAAAAAAAAACGATGCATTGTAAATAATGCATGTATAATGACAATCTCAACAAAACAATCGCAACTTCGAAACCACTCTTAATTGTCTCTTTGCTGGTTGATTTGTATAATGAATTGGAAACACATTGTCTTTTCTTATCATACACCCGTGAATCCTTTTCCCCCCACCACCCTCCCTATTTTATTCAATTTCCAAATCCACATATGGCTCCACTCGTCAGTCGATTTCTCTCTTCTTTATATTCCCATTTCAACTTTGCTACTCCATTTTTATGCTACCAAATGCAACACCCAGAAAAGGAAGGTGCCAGCCAGCCATGTCGTCCTCATCATCATCAACACACCACCTTCTCTCTGATCTCGCTATCCATGTCAACTCCCAGGAAACCTTCTTCCTCAGCGAGGTAACCAAAGAAAAAAGTTGTGTGTTGCCCCAATTTTATTTAACTTTTGTTCAGCAGTTTAGCTAACGAATTGAATCGTCTCTTTGTTGCGGGAGCAGAAAATTGTGTGCGCTTACCTGGGGAGACTGAGGAAGATCATTAAGCAGGAAAAGAGAAGGACCCAAATCAAGATTTCAGGGGTTGAGATCGACGATTTCCCCTGCGGCCCATCTGGGTTCGAGCTGGTCGCCGGATTCTGCTACAACGGCGGCAGAATCCGCCTCTCTGCCTCCAACGTCTCCCTCCTCCACTGCTCCGCCGTCTTCCTGGGAATGACCGACAAGGTCCGCTCCGGCAACCTCCTCAGCCAGACGGAGGATTTCCTTGAGGGAATGCTGGATTGGCAGCTCCCCGACGTTGTCTCCTGTCTCAAAACCTGCGACTCTTTCTTCCCCTACGCCGATTCCTTGGGGCTCGTCCAGAAGCTCGTTTCTGGGCTGTTAGTGAAAATCGCCGGCGGCCGCTGCAATTCAGCAGACAATTCATCCGCCTCATCATCCAGCTCGTCTCCTTTCGATGACCAAGAATCGCCTTGGAGCAAGTTGAGGTTCTCGTTTTCAAGTTCCAAGCCAGGGGGGCGAGTGGAATGGTGGTTTGATGACTTGGTCCGCCTTTCCCCTTTGGCAATCGAAATGTTGGTTAAAACATTGGGGTCTTACGGGTCGGAAAACACCAGCTTGACGCTCACCAGGTTCCTTCTCCATTACCTTAACAAGCACAAGAATTGGGTTCGCCACAAGTCCAAAATGTCCAGCCGAGTTTACTCGGGCCTCGCTGACACGGCCATCCATGGGGTGATTCTGGGTGGAAGGGTCGCATTCTCTTACAGAGGGCTGCTCTGGGTTTTCAGAGTTCTGTGTGGGTTTGGTCCCACAAAAGCCTGTGAGGAGGAATTGGAGAGGATGATTGGAGAATCGCTCGATGAAGCGAGATTGGATGACTTGTTGGTGTGCGGGAATGGTGGTGGCGGTGGGAGTGCTTATGATGTGGATTTGGTGATCAGATCGGTGAGAATATTTGTGAATTCAATGAATCAGAACCAGAGCCAGAGAATGAGGAGAGTGGTGAGGGTGATTGACGAGTACTTGAGGGAGATATCTCCTGATCATAATCTCAAGATGCCCAAATTCGTGGAGGTTGCTGAGAGCTTGCCCAAGTCTGCTAGGGACAGCTTCGATGGGGTTTACAGAGCCATTGACATTTACCTTGAGGTTAGCTTCCTCATTTTACACTTCAAATATTATCGTCCTGCAAGCAACTGCTAGTGTGATGCCCAAACAATAGAGGTAGGTAGCCAGAGGAAACCAACAACCAAACTACAGAGACTAACAGACACAAATGTGTTGCCCGACAGACTGATTGCAAAGTGTTTAATTAACTAGCTTGGAGTTATTCGCACTAACAACGAACAAAAACAAAAGACGAGAAACTACAAAAAGGGAATATCAGACTTCAGACCCCATGCATTGATTTGCATATACTGTGTCGATATACGAGTGTGGTATAATGCAGCCAAACCAGTCGACATTTTGGTACAGTTTATTGTCAACAACTTGCCAAGTCATTTTATTTTGTGGAACAGAAGTTGTTCCCTCGCTGTTTTTCCGTGGGTGACTAGCTAATTCTGTGTGCGCTTAAATTTGGGATTTGGTTTTGACTTCCTTTGTCTCTTTGCTGCTGCTGTTGTTGTAATTCCAGTCTCATCCCACACTTTCCTTCAAGGAGAGATCAAGACTGTGCCGGTGCCTAAACTTCGACAAGCTGTCAATGGAAACCTGTAAAGAGATAGCCAAGAATCCCAAATTCCCACCAACTGTTGCAGTTCAGGCACTCATGTCCAAGACCTCTATGCTCTCAACACCATTAATGCCACCTTCTCCTGCCCAAGGAGTTCATCATCATCATCATCATCATCATCATCATCGCCCTAAAATGCATGACAAAACAGTGGAAATTAGCAGCAAATCGGGCAGCTTGTCCAATTCTCCACGAATGGTGAAAGTGCAGAAGAAGAAGAATGTTGGGTTGCCTGATCTTCATGTGAAATTGGACAAGTACACTTGTAGTCCTGCCAGAGGGATACAAGCAAAGAGGCAGGTTGTGGTTCCGGTTTCAGAAGACAAGGGAGAGAAGATGGAGATGAACATTGTGAGGATGCAAAAGAGGGTAGTGGAGTTGGAGAGAGCTTGTACAGAAATGAAGAACCAAATGTCTAGAATGACGACTGAGCATCACAATGATGGCGGTCCTCCGTATGATGGTGATGCTGGTGGTGGTCTTACGCTTATGGCACTCCCTTCTTCTTGCGGTAAAAGCTTGGGTAGGATTTGTTTTTAAATTTTAGGGCAAGCATTATCATAGGATCTTTTATACTACGTATAGCTTTGATTCCGTCTTGTTTGCCTTTGTTTCGGCAACCACATTTCAAAGGTTGGTCGTCTAATGTACAGAGTGCTTTCAGTTCATCTCATTTCAAGATGTAAGTGTATACCATGGTTGGTCCATTTGAAAAATAAAATGAAGTGGTTAATCTACTTTTAAGATTGAGTATAGATGATACATTCATTGTTATAATTCGGGTAAGTCGCAAGTTTGGTCACTAGAATTACTAAAAAAATTCACGTTTGCCACTAAAATTAATTTATTCCATTCATGGTCACCAAAATTAGTTTAACAGTTCAACTTTAGTAACTCTCCGTTAGTTTCCGTTAAATTTATCTGACGTGGCGGTCAACTTTCAAAGTTGACGTTAAATAGGTGACGTGACAATTAAAAAATAATAATAATATAAAATTTAATCCTTTTACTATTTTCACTCATTACAACCATAAATTAAAATAAATAAAACAAAAAATAGATACAATTATAAAAATTGAAAACAATCCCTCAACCCATCAACGTCTTCAACCTCCACTCCAACCCTAAACCCACCGCCATTACACATTGGAGCAAATCCATTTTGCTCTCCCGCCAGAACGACTTCTAAGCCTCAAAGACCACCAGTCCCCCATCAGCGTCGAGTTCCAGACCCAGCTTGTCGACATCAACGACAAAGAAATCCAAGCCCAGATCTAAGACATCGCCGGCCGGTCAGGAACGCTTATGAGTCGTGACCTCCGATTACAATCACGGCACCGTCACTGCTATCGTCGTCTGCGCCTAACAAAGGTTGAAACCCTAAGGCTTAAAGCCTTTCTCATTGATCAGTTTGGCTCTTATAGAGAAGCCATTACAAAAGAAGACAAGTTCCTGATACAAGTTGTTTGTTTGCTTGAAAAGGAAACAATAACAAACTTGACAGAAAAGCAAAGGTACAGCCGAGAGATGGCAAAAAGAACATAGCAAAAGGATACAAGATAAAACGGTGAGTTTGTTATGAGCTTAACCAAAAGGTGAGTATTAGTCAGGCTGAATCGTCTTCTTCTTCAATTGAGTCTCGCTCTCCTCCAACGGTCGAGTTGAATGGAATTGGGGATTTAAAATCCCTAGCTGTTAAACCCCCCCCCCCCCCCCCCCCCCCCCCCGGCAAGCTGGTGGGCAGAGATTACGCACACCAAGCTTGGCGAGAAGGGAGCGAAATAGAGCTGGAGACAGAGGTTTTGTGAAAGAGGTCGGCCAACTGATGAGCGTTGGAGACGTGAAGAAGCTTGATGGTGTTGCTCTGCAATTTTTCACGAACCAGGTGCCAGTCTAACTCGATATGCTTCGTGCGTTCGTGGAATGTCGGATTCTGTGCAATATAGATGGCGCTCTGATTATCACAGAAGAGGGTATCAGGGTGAGCATGAGAGACTTGGAAATACTTGAGCAAATAGAGTAGCCATTGAAGTTCGCAGGAGGTGAAGGCGAGGGCTCTGTATTCAACTTCACAGGAGGATGGTGAAACTGTCTTCTGTTTCTTACACTTCCACGAGATGAGTGAATCACCCAGATAAACACAGAAGCCGGAAATTGACATGCGAGTGTCGATGCAAGCAACCCAATCTAAGTCGGAGAAGGCCTTCAATTGGGAGGAATTGTCTTTGGGGAAGAAAAGACTTGTTGCTGAAGCAGATTTGAGGTAACGAATGACTCTCTGAACAGCTTTGAAATGTTGTATGCTAGGATTGGCCATGACTCAGTTGCTGAGTTGCATAGCTTATATTGGGCCTGGTAGTGGTGAGATAGATAAATTTACCGACCAATGTTCTATAGAACTCAGGGTCTTCATATGGAGTTGAACATTCTGTAGATAAATGTAGCTTGTAATCCATTGGTGTGGTTGCTGTTTTAGAATCAATGAGATTTGCTTCTTCAATTATCTCCAAGGTATACTTTCTTTGAGAAATGTGAATCCCAGTTGAATTCCTGGCCACCTCTATCCCAAGAAAGAATTTCTGAGTTCTCATGTCTTTCATGCTGAATTCTGAATGCAAAGCTGTTTTAAGAGCTTCTATCTCTTGTAAATCATTCCCTCCAAGAACAAGATTGTCCACATATATGAGAATGCACGTGTAGCTTGTAGAAGTAGCCTTATAGAAGAATGAATGATCAGCCTGGCTTTGAACAAATTTGTAACTTAAGAGCTTATCAGCCATTTTAGAGAACCACTGACGTGATGCTTGTTTCAGCCCATAGAGTGACTTTTTGAGCTTGCAAACTGGATTTGTAAAGACAGGAGGTGGACGGTAACCTTTAGCGAGGTACATGTAAACCTCTTCCTTTAAATCACCATGGAGGAAGGCATTATTCACATCCAATTGGTGAATATGCCAATTCCTCTGAGCAGCAATAGCTAAAAACATCCTCACAGTAGTCATTTTGATCACAGGAGCAAAGGTGTCCTGATAATCGACCCCTTCCTGTTGTGTATGGCCTTTAGCAACTAGTCTGGCACGAAATCTTTCCAAAGTAGCATCTGAATTGAGCTTCACATTGTAAACCCACTTGTTTCCAATGGTTTTCTTACCTAGAGGTAGGTTGACCACATCCCAGGTATTGTTTTTTATGAGAGCTTCTATCTCATGCTGCATAGCAGCATTCCACTGTTCTGACAGTGCTGCCTCTTTGTATGTGTTAGGCTCATGAAAGGTAGACAGTGTAAGAACAAAATGTTTGTAAGCTGGAGATAGAGAGTTGTAAGAAAGAGAGGAGAAAAGGGAATACCTTTTGTCTTGAACTTGTTGATTTGGAGAATTGACATGATTTGCTTGCTTGTTGAAGTAGATAGCAATGATAATCTTTTGTCAAATGGGCTGGTGGTGTAGACTGTCTGTCATAACGTATGAGAGTGGGAAAAGTTTGAGGAGAAGGAGGAGGAGGTGGAGATTGTGCAGGAGGACCTGCTGATGAGGAAGAAGCATGATCATGGGAAGGTGGGACAGATGGAGGATCTGGAGAAGGTGGTGTGGAACTGGTATTTGGTGGTGAAGTAGGTGTAAGTGATGGTGATGAAGTGGTAGGGGGGATGTCTTCTGGTTGAGAATAAGGTGATGGTGTGGGCAATAAGCCAGGAGAGTCAGACTGAGGGTTTGAGTGATTTTGAAAAGGGAAGTGACTCTCATAAAAAATGACATCCCGTGAAACAAAAGTGTCATGAGAAGCCATATCATACACTTTGTAACCTTTAATACCTGAGACAAAACCAAGGAAAATACCCTTCCTAGATCTGGGAGCAAATTTGGTTCTATGACCTGCTAATGTGCTAGCATAACAGAGAGAGCCAGAAACCTTTAAATCTGTAAGGTCAGGAGTGACATTGTGAAGCTTCTGGTAGGGTGTTTGGTTGTCTATGATAGGAGTTGGGACACTATTTATGAGGTATACAACATGTTTGACACTGTCACCCCAGAAACTAGCAGTTAGAGCAGCTTGAAACATGAGAGCTCTAGCAACAACAAGAATGTACTGATGCTTTCTTTCTACCTTGCTGTTTTGTTGGGGTGTTTCCACACATGATAACTCATGGATAATACCAGTGGATTGGAAGAAATCATCCATCTGTAACTCCTTACCCTGGTCACTTCTAATCTTTTGAACAGATTGTTTGAATTGAGTTTGGACTTGAGTGCAAAAGTGAATGAGTTTTGGTCTAGCTTCTGACTTGAGTTTAAGTAAAAGTATCCAAGTCATGCGAGAAAAGTCATCAACAATAGTCAAAAAATACTTAAAGCCATCATAAGTAGGAGTAGGGTTTGGTCCTTAAATATCCACATGAAGCAACTGGAAACATCTTTGTGTTACAGTTTGACTAATGGGAAAAGAAAGTCTCCTTTGCTTTACAAAGTGACACACATCACAGGGCTGATCTTTAAAAGTATGTATGGAGGTACAAAATTGAGAGAGGTAGGGTACTCTGGTATGGGAAACGTGCCCTAACCTAAAGTGCCAAAGATAAAAAAAAAAATAGGGGCCCTAGCAGCAGTGAGGAGTTTTGGTTTGCAGTCTACTTTTAAGTGGTAAAGACCATTGATCAACCTAGCAGAACCAGTCATTCTCTTCATCACCCGGTCCTGTATGAGACAAAAGTAAGAGTAAAATGTCAAGTGAAAAGGTTTGCTTGTGGTGAGCTTGCTCACTGAAACAAGGTTGAATGTGAAGTGTGGGACAAATAGAACCCCTTCAAGGGTTAGAGATGAACTGCAATGAGAAGTGCCAATGTGAGTGGCTTGAATCTGAGCTCCTGTTGGTAAGGTAATGAAGACATTATCTAATGTCTTATAGTCAGATAAGTAGGCCAAGGAACAAGTGATGTGATCTGAAGCACCTGTGTCCAGAATCCAATCATTTGGATTCTTGAAATTCTGACCTTTACTGGGAATGGAGCAAAGGAATTTACCTGGAGATGGAGGTTGAGAGATATAAGCAGCTTCTGAGAAAGAAGATCAATGCTGGCTGTTCATTAAAGCCATGATCTTGTCATATTCTTTCTTGGTTAACTTGACTTCCTGATCATTTGGCTCAAGCACAGTAGAGTTAATAGTATGCTTTCCTCTGTTAGAGTTAGAGGAAGCAGATTTGGAAGCCAAGTGAGGAGGTAAACCATGTTTCTGGAAAGATCAATCCTCATTATGACCTGTTCTTTTGCAATAGGTGCATTCAGTGGACCTCACTGTAGGAGTAGATGTTCTTTGATTCATTCTAGGTGGCCAGCCATGGATGTGATAACAAATGTCCATGGTGTGGCCTTCCTTCTTGCAGTGAGTACAGAAAGGTCTTTTACCAGATGAAGTGAACCTCCTGTTACCTCCTTGAACAACCATAGCTAGAGAATCTAAAGTAGCAGTAGCCACCATTTTTCCTTTCTGTGTGCCATAGATCTGTCTTTCATGTTGTAAGAGTCTTTGCAAAACTCTATTGATAGTAGGTAACTCTTCTCCAAACAGAACTTGTGCTCTAACACCAACATAGTTTTCATTCAAACCCCTTAGGAATTTGATGACATAGTTTGTATCATGGTATTCTAGGACTTTCTTCATGGCACGACATTCAATATGACTGGTTGGAGTGCAGTCACAGGGAAACAAGGGTTGGTAATTATCTAGATCGTCTTTCAAAGTGATGACTGTGCCATAATATTCTGTGATTGTCTGGTTACCCTGATGTAAGGAAGACAAGGCTTCTTCTAACTCAACAACACGAATGAGATCACTAGAACCATACCTAGATTGCAGACTCTTCCAGGCATCAGCAGTTGTCTTGCTTGAGAGGATTGTCTTACGGATCTCTGAGTCAACTGCTTGCTGTATCCATCTAAGAATGATTATGTTGTTGCAAACCCAGGCACCATGTAACATATCTGTGGGAACTGGCTCAGGGATGAGGCCATTAACAAACCCAAGTTTGTTATTGGCAGGAAGAGCATTGTACATTGCTCTGCTCCAATCGTTGTAATTAGTAGAAGTAAGCTTCCCACTGAACCAAAAGAAGGTCGGGCTGTTCAGATCCATGGAGAAATAAAGGATCTTCAAGTTGGTAAAGGTTTTGTGGTTGTGGTTGAGGTGGTGGTTGATTCTATGGTGGAATTTGTGGGTCTGGAGGAGGCTGTTGCTCATTGTTGTTAACGTTGGCAGCCATGGCGGCGGGAGGAGAGTTAGGTCAAGGGCTCTGATACCATAACAAATGTTGAAACCCTAAGGCTTAAAGCCTTTCTCATTGGTCAGTTTGGCTCTTATAGAGAAGCCATTACAGAAGAAGACAAGTTCCTGGTACAAGTTGTTTGTTTGCTTGAAAAGGAAACAATAGCAAACTTGAGAGAAAAGCAAAGGTACAGCCGAGAGATGGCAAAAACGACATAGCAAAAGGGTACAAGATAAAACGGTGAGTTTGATATGAGCTTAATCAAAACGGTGAGTATTAGTCAAGTTGAATCGTCTTCTTCTTCAATTGAGTCCCGCTCTCCTCCAACGGTCGAGCTAAATGGAATTGGGGTGAAATCCCTAGCTGTTAGCGACATCACCCATGACCCACCGCAACACGTTCGAATTGACCAAAGAGAAAGGGGAAGAGGGTGGCGGAAGAGCAAGGGTTGTATTGGATTCAGCGGTTCCATTTCTTAAGAAGGATCCATTTCTTATCCATTTTTGGAATTTCTTAGTCCATGTCATTAGGATTTAGCGGCTTCCATTCTTCGGTTAATGGATATATTCTTCGGTTAATGGGCTTCAAGGGATCCATCGAAGGAGGAATCGCTTTAGTAGTCACCGGTTGCTCCACCCACCCACTGCATCTAATCAAGATCCGAATGCAGCTCGAGGGCGGGAGCTTCGCTGCTCCCAACCCAGTCCTCCGCCCAACTTTAATTTTATGAATATCCGCCCAACTTTCACTTTCAACAACCCGTTATAATTTTTATTTTATTTTTTAATTCATTATAATAATTTGGGGTGGGCATTGGGTGGGTCGGGCGGATTTTGACCATAAAATGCACACATCCACGCTTAAACGGATTGATAATTTTTAACCCACCAACTACCCACATTTAGTCTCGGATTGGGTCGGGTGGATGGTGGATGATGCGGGTGGGTTTGCAGATTCACCCACAGCACAATGTACATAATCCAAAGGAGTCAACTTGACATAATAATCGATGGAGAGTGTTGTTGCGCGGAAACAAGAAGATGGAATAGGGGAAAATGTTGAATTAGTTCTGAAATTTTATTGGCATAATGATCAACATAATATCTTTGATTGTAGATATCAACATAATAAACTTAGAGAGAGAGGAGATTGGTTTTGGTGTGAAGAAAATGAGAGGATGGGGGTATTTATAGGGTATGGACAACCTGGCCAGGAGTCGGTTTTGTAATTTTGTCCCAACAAAAACCGCCCTCCCAGCACACGGTTTCCAATTTCCCATGCCCAAACCGCGTCCCCGAAATGCGGTTATCAGTGAAAGACGCGCACCACTTAGTTGGCAGGCGTTCTCGCCATTGGATCGCTCCATTATCCAACGGTTAGCAGAAACGCCGCCTTGGTAAGCGGTTTTTGGGCTGCCCCAAGGAAAGCCACCCCCTTCATAGTGGGATTTTTGTTATAACCACCCCTTCGAGGTGCGGTTTTTAAAAAATACTGGCATTTTGAAATTTTATTGAATTGGGTTGTAATTTTGTAATTTTCTTCTTAAATCGTGGTAGTTTTGGATTTTTCTCCACCTTCTCTGACTGACGAGGCCACAAATTTGCCCCGGACCGCGATTCCCTTTCCCCCTCCCTCAACCAGCTGCACTGCAGGTATCAGTGCGACACCAGAGCCGGATCCGCCAGTTTCCTTTCCAACGCTATTTTATTCTTGGTCCACTTGCCCTTCCGCCTCCACGCTAATCCTCAACCGGCGGCGCGGTGGTCTAAGTTTCCGGAGCCGACCAGGTAACGAAAAATCCTAACGCAACTCCCGATACCGAAAATCTTAGTTTCAAAATGCTAGAAACTCTTTCGTGATTCCTCCGCTTCTCGACTCGGTCAAGAAAGTTCTCGCATTCTGCGGGCGTGAAAGAATCAGGGATTTGAATGTTTCATTCTCAGAACCTAGGGTTGGTTCCCTTTCCAGTTTTGCTCGTAAAAAAAGCTGCAGAATTCTTGCACTGTGTTCAGTCCTCTGAATCGCATTTCATAATTCTGTATTGTTTGCTGTTGCTGGACCTGTTTGTGTTATTAATTAATATGCCAATTGTTCATATGTTTCCCTTTGTCAAAACGTGCAATCTACCCTGAATGTTCATCTCCAGCAGTTGATCGTGGCCTACCTTTTTTTCCGTTTGCAGATGGAATCAGAAGTGGTAGAGGCAGAGTTGGTACTGCCAACACACCTGAGCTTCAAGAAGGTACAGATGTATGAAAAGTACCCAAAGGGTCAGTCCAGAGGCCGCCACTGGAAGCACTTGAAGCAGATCCTCCAGGCCGAGAATCTCCAAAACTATCCTCCTGATGAACCTAACTGTTAGCGACTGAGAAATGCTCAATTCTAAAATAATGTTCTTCTATTTGGATTCTGATCACAGTTTTTTTACATTGTGCAGACGTCAACATCGAATCACCGCCCTCGATGCATCCGTCCGTGAAAATATGCGACATCACTGGGTTAGAGGTATGCTGATCTTGGGACTTCGTATGAGTTCCACCTTGTTTACAGAATGTTGACAGATAATTCGAGAAACATTACCACCAGTAGTATTCAATGAGAATAGATTTGGTGGTGGTCTTGCATTTCACAACATTCTATAGGCAAGTACTATCTATAGTGATCCGAATTAACTTGCTTCTCAACTTCATCCTTTGAGCTCAGCTCCCCTTGTTCTTCGCATTTGGAGACTTAACAAACACATGCTTTGTCTTTCATTTCTACTGTTTACAAACTCTAATTCATCCCAGATTCTGGAGGCCTTTGGTTTTCTTTTTTCGTTTTCTAATAAACTTGCAATGCTAATGGGGTTTATTCTTTTGGCATCTTCCATAACACTTTGCCCGTTCTATACTTTTATCGCAGGCACCATATCATGATCCAAGGACAAACCTTCGTTATGCAAATACTGAGGTCTTCAAACAAATAAGGGCACTTCCAAATGAGTACGTGCAGAGGTACCTGGCTCTTAGGAATGCAGCAGTTGTTCTGAAATAGCGGACTAAGATACACATCACGCCACGCGTGGTTGTTAACTATAATAGCACAAAGCTCAGCTTCAAACTGATTTCTAGCCTTCTAGGATTGTCAAAGATCTGTGTAAAACTATATTACCCTCTCTGCTAAGTTTGTAACAATCAAACGAGTTATTTTCTCCTCCATCAAGCTGGTAACAAAGAGCCTCATTGTGAAACAACACGAGCACGACCATCTATCTGAATCTGATGGATACAGTACGTAGCTTAGACTTAGAGACGCACTATGACATTACAATTGCAGAATACCTACCTAATACAGTAATGCTGCAGCTGCAAAATCATCCCCCAATCAAGGTATCTTCAATACCTGCGAGTCGCACCTGTTGATTGACTTGAAGTGCAGTCCCTTGCCCAGTGCCCAGGTTTACCACATTTGTAGCAAGCAGAGTTGGGGGACGAGGAGACAGGCCTTCTTCCTCCAAATGATGTTGCTGCTGCTGCTGCTGCGGCTGGCGAATCAGATGAAGAAGATATGGGGCAATCTTTTGCCCAGTGTGCAGGATTACCACATTTGAAGCAGGCAGACCCTGTTCTTGCTCCATGCACAATTTTGCTGCTTTCGGAAGTGCTAGTAGGATTACTGGCTGCCGTATCTGTCTCGTTGCACCACTTAAAGAAACCACAAGCACTTTCCTATGGCAGCACAATTAAGCCAGAAGGAACCATTAGATTCCAATGGGTGATGAATGACGAACAGGAAAAGCAGTAACTCTGCTCAAGACATTTCAAGTCCAAAGAATAACATCTCAGCTGGAGCACAAAAGAAACAGGAAAAGCAGTGGATTGTCATAGCAGTCATCAAGATTCAAGGCCAGCATTCCATATTTCCATTGCTCTTACAGATTCATACAAATGGTTGGCTTCATCAAAAAGAAATTCAAACAAGAATACAGGATGGTGCTACGCAAAGCTTCTGTTTACAGAAGAAATGAACATACCTGGCTAGCAGGACAGCGGTAAAATTGCTGGCCGATGTTTTTCCCATTTTTTGCAGTTAGGAGCAGGCAAAATCCAGCACCGCAAGGACAGGGAAGATCTGAATTGGACACTGAGGAGTTGTTCCCTGAAGCTTTGTCGCACCACTCAAAGAAGCCACAACCTCCATTTTCCTGAAAACCAACAAATTCGAAGTTCGTCACCAGTGCCAAACAATTCAAGCCATCTGTCTCGAATCTCGATCATTATGCGAATTCGACAATGGAAAACTTCAGCTCAATTTGGCTGACCAAATTTATTGCAACCTTTGAAAGATTAAGGTTCTCTTCTCCTTATGAATGTAAGAGCTAAATCTAGCGAAACGGAAACCCTAGAACATTGAAGTCCGAACAAGAAGTACTGGTGGCCGTTCACCTGTCTGAGAGGGCATCGGTAGAACTGGCGGCCTCGATTCCGTTCAGTATTAGCGGTGAAAACGACACAGGCTCCCTGTCCGCACGGGCAATCCTTCTCTGAAACCGACGGCTGCTGCCGCTCCGATCGATCATAATCGCCCCCGCCATCAAAATGAGGTCGGGAAGCAGAAACAGCTGCTGCGACGGTCTTCACTCCAGAACTGGATCGATTCAGAGGATTTTGTTGCCAGGAGAGGCTCTTGCTCCCTCTGAGAGCAGCCATATAAGCGCCTTCCTCCTCCTTCATCTTCGCCGCGCTAACCGTCGCCACAGTCATCTTCTTCAGCGGTTGCTGCTGCTTCTCCTCGTCTTCCTCGGGATTGTATCCGTCGAGTATCCGGCGCTTGTTGGTATCGGAGGTGTTGATTCTGGACAGCGCGTTGGCTTCTGCGAAAGCCAACTGAGAAAGAAACTCTTCGTCGTCGTCGTCGTGAAAGGCTGCCATTTTCCCTCGCTTTGTTCTCACTGAATTTCTTGGCGCTGGGGTTTATTTTCATTTGAATTTCCGTCTTCCGCATTCCCACTCCCGAGTCCGCCTATTTAAGAGGTCCGTAAAACCGTACCGTACCGGCGGTTCAACCACAAAATATGAAAATACTAGTATTGGAGGCTAAACCGGTAGGCGATATTTAACGGTACTAACGGTTAAACCACTGTTTTTACCATAAAATACCCTACCTCTGACTTCCCCGGTACGATCTCCGGTAATGTTTAAACCATGCTATTTAGACATTTAGGGGGATTTGGAAGTTGCGATTTTTTTGTGAGATTATTACTATACATGTATTGTTTAGAATGCATCAATTTTTATTTTTTAGCATAAACAATACAAGGATTGTTGTGATGTGACAGAAACTATCACTCAAAATGAGTGATTGTTATATCTCAGTTTTTAGTTGCGATTGTTGAGTTGATATTGTTTTGTCTCGACTTTTAACTGATGTGACATACACTATCATACATACCAAATGTTATATTTTACAGTGCATAAAATTCGACAATACATGTATAATATTATACATGCATTCACAACCAGTGACGGAGGCAGAATCTGAAAGTACCTGTGTCCTCTTTCTATAATATAAAATAAATAATTATTTAATAAATATAATTAAAACTAATAATATCTAAATCATTTATTCATATATATTAAAAAAATACTAGACAAATAAAATCATTACTTTCATAAGCAATCACGATGAATTTTCAAATTCTCAATGTATCCGACTAAGCAATCATTAGCAAATTGATCGCAATGCGACTTTGAAACTTGTTTTTAATATAGCTCAAAGCTGAAATGTTCTTTCTACACTTGCAATGGTAACGAGTAAGGTCAAAACTAACTTTAAGACGGAGATATCGACCTTTATTGTGAATTTTGTTTAGTGTAATATATTTATTTATGTTAGCTTCGAAACTTGAAATAACTTGTAGTATAGTGATAAAACACTTTTATATTACCTAAAATTAATCAGTGCAATCCTTAATTGATACATATATGGGGTATTTTTTTACCCAAAAATTACTTGTATCTCCGGACACATTCCATGCCCCCTAGCTCCGCCTATGTTCACAACAATACATTTATTTAACAATCACAACTTCCAAACGACCCATAAAGACCACCAGTATCAGCCCATTGCGATCTAATTAATAATTAGGAAAAGTTGCGAGATCACATTTGAGAACGTTAGATGTATAAAATTGATTCACGGCCTTTCATTTTATTTCTACCCGCTATTCAAAACTGGGTAAACCTAGTTTAGTTATCTTATCCCTTTTGTTTTTGTTTTTTTTTTTTTTTTCTTCAAAATTTTGTAATCCCTTTTGTTTACCCTAAGCCGTTTCTAGTCCAACACTAAGTTCAGGGACCGAGCCATTCGCATTTAAATCCAAGAGGACATATTTGAAAAGTCCCCAGCAGTCTTTAGCGGCTTACATTCCGTCACTAAAGGGCTTTGAATCCAGCGCTAAAACCCAGAATTTGCATATACATATAGTCATCCATTGCTCAATATAGACATCGAGAATAGACCTCCTTACCTCTAAAACGAGCGTAAAAAAGGTTTGACGATTCTGGACGTTATCATCCTTGCTTGAAGATTGTTTGAACCCTCGCAACGTTGTCGTCGAAGTTATGAACATAACATGCGTGTGTGAGTTAATGGGAGTTTAAACTATGCTTGGAGACAAGTTGGGATCAAGATCCTTACCCACTGGATTGTCTGTCGAGATTACGACGTGGAACAAGAGCCAATTAGCTATAGCTTAATATGGGGTTGGAATTAGCCGTTAGGTTAGAACTGAGGTTCTTACCTTACGGAATATGATTCCGACGAGCTAGGATGGAGAACAATCGTTGTGGAGGAGAGGTGACGCGCGGTGGTGCTGAGGCTGAACTGTTGTCTATGTTTGTTTTTGGCCTCGCCATCACTGCTAGCCTAGGTCGGTGGTGGTGGCAGAGTGCTCGTGGTTGCCTCTGCTCGCTGGTGAATCGGACATTGGGTCTCACAAGAGGGGAGTGGGATGGCTGTGGTTGCTTGGTTTTGGTTTATATCTTTTTGTTTTTGTTTTTGTTTTAGGATTGATTTAAAGGGTAAGGGTGCATCCGAGTTGGAGGTGGGTGAGCTTAGGGTTAATTGCTCCTAGGGCCATTTTTAGAATTACGAGGTTACTTTGGTTATCGAGTGTGACATTTCTCTCCTCCTCCTTAATAAAATTTCAACCTTGAAATTGAGGTCATAAAAACAACATAGAGATATCGGACTCTCCTCTCTTATTACCGGTGATATAAATTCCATGTTGATGAAATCTAGTGATTACAAGGGTATATCAAGAAACAACTCTATGTATTTCTTCCTCATATTCTCCTTGATCTCCCAGGCAGCTGCGTCTGTGCCTTGATTCATCCACACCACCTTCATTATAGGGACCTTCTTCCTTCGTAGTTCTTCATCCTGGCGGTCAATAATCCCAGTTGGTTCCTCAGTGTAGGTCATATCACTTTGTAGTTGGATATCTTCCAACCTAACGATGTGGATGGGATCTGATATGTACCCCCCATTAGCATACTAACATGGAAAACATTTTTTATCTTGGTCAGGTTTTGAGGTAGTGCCAAATCTATAGGTCGGATGACTACACACTCCAGCACTTCGTATGGCCCGACGTATCTAGGGCTCAACTTGTCATTCTTGCCAAATCTCATAACTCCCTTCCATGGAGACACTTTTAGGAACACCTTGTCTCCTACTACATAAGTTTGCTCCTCTCTTGGATTATCTTCACAACTCTTCTGCCAATCTTGAGCGATTATCATGTTTCCCTTATTCATTTCAACCTGTCCACTATGTCTTGTACTAGTTAGGGACCTTCTATCTGCCTCAACTCTTTTGCGTCCCAGTACAAATGAGATATACACTTCCTTCCATACAAGGCCTCATGCGGTGCCAACATTAGAGAACTGTGATAATGATTCTTATAAGCAAACTCTAGTAGAGGGAGATACTTATCCCATGACCCCTTCATCTGCAATGTGCAAGCTCTCAATAGATCCTCTAATATCTGGATCCTTCTCTTGGTCTACCTGTCATTCTGAGGTTGATAGGCAGTAGAGAAGTGAAGCTTGGTCCCCAAGGCCTTGTGAAGGCTCTTACAGAACTATTCGGTGAAGTTAGGGTCCCTATATGATACAATGGGTATAGGGACTCCATGTAGTCGTACCACCTCTTGGATGTATAAATCTGCCAATGCATCCACCCCTGCCTTGAACTTGATGGGAATGAAGTGGCCAAATTTGGTGAGGCGATCTATAATCACCGAAACATCATCATCCCCCCCCCCCCTCACTTTGTCCTTGGCAAACCATATACAAAATCCATAGTGATGTGTTCCCACTTTCACTTTGGTAATTCAAGTGGCTTTAGCTTCACTGTTAGAGCCTGATGCTCTAGTTTCACCATCTGACAGGTCAAACACTTATGTACATACTCAGCTGCCTCCTTCTTCATATTGGGGCTCCAGAAATGTTCATGCAAGGTCTGATACATCTTGGTTGATCCTGGGTGCATGGCATAAGAGCTTCATCCAAAATCTAATGCCTTAAGTTTTCCACATTGGGCACGCACGCCCTACCCTCAAAGCGTAGCATCTCATCATCCATTTCAAAATTGGTATCCTTCCCATCTTGCACCTTCATAATGTACTTGGCCTTAACTGAATCATCTTTATGCTTCTCCTTGATTCAATCATGCAATAGTTGTCTAATCCTCAAATTCGCCATCATGCTAGTAGCATCTTCCAATTGTAGCTCCGCATTTATAGCCATGAGTGCCACAAGCTCCTATAATGGCCTATGTTCCTTTCGACTTAGTGCATTGGCTACCACGTTGATTTTCCCATGATTTCATTTAATGTTACAATCATAACCTGCCAACAACTCCACCCATCTACATTGTCTCATATTTAGTTCTTTTTGATTCCTTAGGTGTTTTAAACTCTTGTTATCCGTGAAAATCTTAAAAGTTTCACCAAGAGATGGTGTCTCCACAACTTTGAAGCAAACATTACTACAGCTAACTCTAGTTCATGGGTTGAGTAGTTCACTTCGTGTGGTCGTAAATGCCTTGAAGCATAAGCAATTACCTTTTTATTATGCATAAGAACACATCTCAACCCCTTATATGAAGCATAACTATATATGGCATACTCTCCTTCTTTTATGGTAATGCAGGTATCGATGTAGCATTAAGCTTTCACTTTAGATAGCAGTAAGTTTCTTAGAGCATGTAGATAGCCATCGCGATCCTGTCATCCTGGTTATCGATGCGCACTTCATCCAGGTTGCGAGTGAGCTTCGGCAGCCACACATCAACCACCTCAGGGTCGGAGGATCCCTTAAAGTCCTTGGAACTCATCTTCCTAAGTTTAACATAGTTCGGAGATAGGCGTCGACCAAAGTGCTGATAGCTTTTGCCATTCTTACTCTTACAGAAGGCAACAATATTGTGTCAGAACCTTGGAACTTTTGCACCTGTTAGTAGACGAGACTGGATGCTCTAAAACAAATTTTGTTTTTATGAAAATCTTGATTGAAAAGTTTCACAACAAAAGCTTGTGGCATCCCAAACCTTTTCACAACAAAATTTTGTTAGTTTTGGATCTAAATCCTCACAGATTTTGCCTTGAAGTGCGTGTTAAGACAACTTATCATAAGGCCACCCATCTTAACAACCCTCCACGGTAAACATTTTCAACTTCGAAGTTGTTAAAAGAAATTCCCGCAAAATGAGTGTTGTGTTGTCTACACTATTCTTTTCTTTTTAGTTCAATAATCAAATATCTACTCTACCTTATTCGAATTGGCTCAAGATAGAGTGCATAACCATGGGTTATGCACCCATCAATAACCAAATCTGGATCCTTCATTTAGAAAATCCAGATCTAAGGATGGAGAATTAAATGTCATTTTTATTTTCCCTAACTTTCTTAATTGACTCATATCTTTTTCGTTTTAATTTGGATTTTGATTTTTTTGCACAGATGGAAGGAGTTCATCGTGCTCTACAAAATGAGATCAATTTTCAACATTGTTTGAGGAAAAAAAAAATATGGCCTCTCGGTACCAACTGCATACCATATGGTATCTTCTTCGTTTTTAATTCGTTTTTGAAAACGTTTGCACAAAGGGACAAGTTCATCATGATCTATTGGATCTACAAATTTCTGGGTGAACAAATTACAAGACCAAAAAATACCACACAATACCATACAATACCACCCTAGTACAGGGTGGTATCTTATGGTATACAATGTTAAAAATTGTAAATGACAATTAGTATACTCTACTATCATGTATTCAACCATCCTACAGTTTTGGTTTATGTCATACCACCATGGTACGCTTTTCAAACCATAGGTATGCTCTTATTTCAATACCAGTCAATACCATATGGTATAGACTGGTAAAAAATGGCTCAATTTTTTTTGTTCGAAAAATATATCAAAGTGGATATCATTTTGAAGAGCACAATTAATCTGATCTAATTATACAAAAAAAATTAAATTTTGACTTAAAACGAGTGAGAAATCGTCCATCAAAGATTAATGAGAAGAAATTTAAAGACTTTCCAAGAGAGAGATGATGCTGATGTCATGCTGATTTGGACGGGTTACTCATGGTTACTCACCATAAGGTTACTGACCTGATCCATTTATATTCGAATCGACGCTGAGAAAGTTCCGGAGACATATACTAGAAAATATCAAAAGAAGACGGTCACGGGTCATCCCACCAAAAGAAAAGATAAAGAAAACAAGACAACGGTAGCAACGAAGTTGCCTGCGCAGCGGCTGGGTTTTGATCTCTCCGGCGCTGTTCGATTCAAATCCAATTAAAGTCCAATCTCCCGGAATCAGCTTATCCAGCCAGCAGTCTCTTTTCCAGTTCCCCCTTTCATTTCCTCTAGGTCAGTAGTATCTCTTTCGTTTTGTTGCCCTCGCTCTTCGACCCAAGGAAGCATCAATTTTGCCAAATCACCCATTTAAATTTTCCAACAGAGAGTGATGGGGGTTGTGGTTGCCGGGAGTTGCGCTGTTCCGCTCCTGGTGTTGAAGAAGAAGAAGACGAGCCCGGCAGCGCTGCCACCACAGAGGAGGCCATGTCTGGGCTATTATAATCATGGAAGCTGTAGAAACCTGGAGATGGGGGTGTTGGTGGGTTTGGGTAAGAGAGGTCGTAGGCTTAGGATTGGAGCCTCTTCTCTCTTCTGCAACCCCACTGATGATCCTATCATTAAGGAAGTTCTCAAGGTGAGCGTCTGACTACTTTTTCTATGCTATTCGGACCTGGAATTTAGTCTCTCTCGTTCTTGCTGTTTCATGGTTTGTTTTTTCTGTTGTCTCCACCTGCAACCCTACATTTAGGGGATTAGTGTAAGTACTAAGTAAGATGGTTTTCAATTTTCATCCAAGCTTTTGGACTTGTGCAACTTCTTTTGGTTACTATGTAGGGTTGTAGTAGAAATAAGCAACCCATAGCTGCTGATTCTTCCTTTCGTAGGTTGTAGTTCTGTAGTTTCGCGTATGTTTCTATGTCATATAGAGTGAGTGAGTGCAGGGTTAATCACTGATTAGAGGTTGGTGTGTACATTATGCATTGATTTTGTTGTGTGGACTAGGAGCCGGTTGCTTTCTTGGGAGGAATGTTTGCAGGGCTGCTGAGGCTCGATCTCAACGAAGAGCCACTCAAGGAATGGGTAACGAGAACGGTGGAAGCGTCTGGTATCAAGGAAGAAGCAGATGTTGAAGGTGAGGGAGAAGAAGCGTACGACGATCAATCCCCTCAGCAGATCATGATTGAATGAACGACTGCCACTTCGATTCTTCGCGATGCAAAGTCTCGTGCATATGGGAAACGAATCGGCTGGCTATCTTCTTTGTTTCTGTGTCGTGTCTGTGTATCTGACAATGAGTGGATCGTGGGATTCCAGTTTGATCTCAGAAACCTGCAATTGTGGGATGGAGCTTAATGACATTCAAGTTCCTGATACAAGCATGCTCTATCTTTTGATCAAATAATGACATGTCCACGCAACTTCAGTTCACCATTCGAAGATCTAATTGGAGGTGGAATGAGCAGAACCTGGTTGCTGAAGAAAGAATGAGCCGTAAACCATGGTCGAGCTTCTATTGCCAAGAAGGAAAATGAACCTAACTTAAACGAAGTCACTTAGAATTGCCATTCGCCAGCTAAAATGAATAGCTCCAATGTATAATGAAAGCATACTCTTCCCCTCACTTTGCAAGAAAGATTAGGGATCTTCATTGTCAGCAAATTGGTACAGGAACATCTACCAAAATTCACTGATCTCTAAAACACGGTGGTACACAAACAAAAACAAAAACAAAAGGATTTAAAGCTATCTTCAGTCTTGAGGTCTCCTTGATCCAGAGAGGGTTTCCCCTCCCTGGGTCAACGGAGCTTCTACGTTTTGATTCCTTTTAGCATCCATATCACTTACTCCTGCTTTTAGCTTCTTCAATCATCTCGTCCGCATGCCGACGCCAGAGGCTCTCCCTCTCCTTCCTGTGGATCTTGTTGTACCTGGGATCAACTTTCAGTAATCGCTTCGCCGTTGACCATGAATCTAGGACTGTTTTCCCATCTTCCATCTTGTCTGCAGCTGCTTCAACAGTTATGACTTCAGCCAACAAGGCTTTGTACTCTTGAACACATCGCTACGGTGGATAAGGTTTAACAGAATGGAACACTATTAGGAGTCCGTCGTAAAAAAGATGCAACATACTTAATTTTGAGCCACATGCAGTTTGTATTCAGCAAATCACCTACCTCTTGCAACATCTTCACATGCTCACGGAAAAGTCTCTCAGTTTCTGAAGGATCTAAATCAGGGTGTGTTGCACGTCCTTGAGGATCCTTCTCCAGTCTGGTCTTTGATTCTGTCCAAGATGCCTGTAGGTAAGTAAATCCAACAAGTTAGGGTGCAAGAATAACATAGGGCATTCAGCTGCTTTTCCATCAGTATTAATTGTTGTTACCCTACTCAATGCTCCATTAATCAGATATAGGCAATCGATAAGTGCACAACTGCAAAGTAATCTCAATTTTCCGTGGATATATATTTTCGTTGATAGCAAACTTGTGGTAGAACTGAGAAACTTTAGGAGGCTTCAAGTATTAGGGATTATGAGGCAGAGGGAACCACTATCAATGACATTTCAGACCACTAATCAGAAATTTACTGGCAGCAGGACAAACTGCAAAAGCAGAGCAACTATTGATATATTCACATAAACACCATACAGCCATCATGGCGAACACATATACCTGTGGGTCCTTGATTGTTTCCACGAGCAAAGCCTGAAAAGAAGATGTTGCCTCCTTCCTCCTAACTTTTAGTCGCACCCTGTCCATTTCTTGTTCCTCCCTTTCTTTTCGTTTTCGCAAGTCCCGCTCCCTTTCTTTCAGCCTCTCCTTAAAAATTACTCAAAAGAAAGGTGGAATAGTAAGGCAATCTACCCATACAATGAGTGAAAAGGTATCCACTAGTGTGCAGTGACACCATATTCAACATTATCAAGTTTATAAAACTTCAGCAAATAAAAATTACTCAAATAATAATTGCGGTTTGGAGAGAATTCAAACAATCACAAGTGTATGTATAGGCCATTGCCCCATCTAACATGGTCTTTCGGCAATTTTCCAATTAACATATAAAAGCAAATTCCAATCCACTAATAAACAGAATTCTTTCTAAGCGGACGATAGCAGCTGCCATCAAATGGCTATAGACACTGCTGAAATGATCCCATACTTCAGCATGCGAACCATCTAAGGCCTACCTATCCTACAATCTTAATCCCAATTAAGGGAAGGGACATCATAGAACCACTCCACGACACAGAAATTGGGACAAGGTTGTAGATGAGCTGGTGATAATTGAGTACCTGTTCATCCCTCTTGGCTTTCATTTCACGCTCGGCTTCCTGATCTGCTGCTTTTAAGTCGGATAAATACTCATTGAATAAAGCCTCCCGATCCTCATGCTTTATAGTCTTGTACCTGGGATCATTCCTTAAACTGTCCTTAACCTGCAAACAGCAAAAAGCAACCATTGATGTACCCGCATGTATCAGATCTTCTTAACTGAGAATAAAGCATTTTATTATCATGGTTGCTTCAGGTATAGGTGTTACATAGCAAAGCAAGTCTGCAAATGATCGAGGGACAATTATTTCAACTGATTTCAGAGAGTTTCAAAAATAGTCAGCTGGGACAGGGGGCTTTTCCAAATCTCTTAAGCAATAGAGACCAAATTGTTAATCACTCAGCAAACACTATTCAAATTTTCTTTCATCTGATGCCACCACTTAATTTAAAAAGAGAAAAGTCCGTCTTTCAGCTGAAAGAAAAATTAATTGGATTGCATGAATAAGTAAGATTCTTTTCCTTAACTAAAAGGCTAATGCTGAAAGATATCCCATCTAAACCTAGAAGTATCACCCTCATAATAACTTTACCTCACCTCTCTTTCCGTTTCACATATGCTTAAAAATCAGAATCACAATTATAACATACCCTGGACCAACGTGAATGCACGGTTATATCTCCTCTTTCTCGGAGCATAGACTTGAAACCAGCAGCTACTACTGAACGCTCAGCTTGAGCTTTTTCTCTTGCTGCCTTCCTCAAGTTAAGAACCCTAGTACCATAAAGAGTAACCAACATCAAGAAAGGACATAGGAAAAATAGAGAAGTGAATCAAATAATAAGAATATATAATATACCATGCAAATGCAAAGAGACTAAAGACAAAAGGACAATCCCAAATTTAACCCAATAAGCAGGTCTCCAGCACATGCTCACATGTGTTGCTTCAATGAAAAGAGTCCATTATCTGACCAGGGGAACGGTTTATGAAAAGAAGAAGCAAATTACCCAAACACCGACTTCATGCAGCTTTTGAAAGAAACGTTGCACATGCACCAGACAGAAAAACAAGTTTTAAAAATGAAACACGAGAGTTGCAAACAAAGCGAAGGAACATAAGAGTCAAAACTATTGGTAGACTCCCTTTCCCAAGGGATAAATACTCCTTTAAAGAAGATGATGTCCAATAATACTTGTGAAACAAGGTTCAGATGAGAGCGTTAAAATCTTTTTTGGGTTGTGAGCTTTTTGGGAACAATCTTGTTATTGTAAAAATCGATTCATCCTTATATCTTAGACATGTAAAATCGCCCGAATCATTTTCCAGGAAGGATTGCAGCTTGGAATTGTAACCAATATACTTCCATCATCTGCCAAATCTAACCATGACTACAACTGAAATTAAAAATTTATCAAGTCAACTAATTTACAATTGAACTTCCAAATGACCCCTCAGAATAGATTCTCCAATGAAATAGTACATCCAGATTCCAAGGATCTTAGGGGGGAAATCCAGTAAATACTATGCCAAAGGGGAAACGGTCAGTGATGTTTGAGGAGAATAACTAAACCCTTTCATGACAATGCATAAAGACACAAATGAGTTTCCGAGAAACAACTAGGGCACTTTATGCAAATCATCTGAGGCACTGAAAGGACAAGGATGTACACAACCAAACCATTAGACAATAATGACGCCAGACTCCTAGAAAGAAGCAACGACGAACCTAAAGGTCATTCATTATAACCTAATAAGTAAGCACGCAATAAATAAACATAACAAAGGGCAAACAACCATTGGAGGCTGACTGGCTACAGAAGATCCAAGTTGTCAGCAAATGATACCTTTCATTCAACAAATGCTCTCTGTCCTTACGGTCAAGGGCCTCGAACCTTGGGTCATTCCCCCACTTCTTCCGGAAAGTATAATAATCAGTATACTGGTCAATATCCTGAAAAATTCAAACATATCAGGTAAATTATCTATTTCTATGCGATTACAGAGCCAAAAGATTCCAACAGTTGAAGGAGATATGGCACTTCAATTCACTGCCATCAACGGGACCTCTGATGCTTCTTCTAGTAACTGCTTAAATCCCTCTACTGCAGCCTTCTGAGCTGCACGTTTCTCCTTGCGCTCCTCCTCAGCACGTGTTTTCACATAGTGCTCAAACAAGGACCTCCGAGCAGAATGACTTGGTATAGCCTGGAAAAATATTGAACAAGTTTAACGGAATATGACAGAGTAACACAAAAGTAACTCATAATTAAAAGAAGAAGATATCATAAGATAGGAAAGCACAAGAGAGACATCCTACAGAATATGGAAAACCTAGAAGCTTCCAAGCAAATGGAGATCTAAGTACCACCACAGATAGAAATGAATCAGTTCATGGTGGTGAGCAGTACACGAGAGTGAAAGGAGTACAGCAGAAAGGATGATATGCATAGACAAATAGCCAACAGAAACATAGTCACTATCATATGGAATACGAAAAAGTTATTCAGCTAATGCTGTCTGTTAAAACAGCATCCAATCAAACAAACTCCTAATTTTTCTCAAGTTAACTAACAATCTTCAGTCATTTATTGTGATTAATTTAAAATACATCAAGAAAAGACTCCGCATTGCATAAAGTAACACGATGGCCCTAGTGGCTGCTTGTTCACATGTTTAAGAACACATGATTCAGAGCCAATATACTGAATATAACTTGAATATGTAGGAGTGGCTTAATTAGATGAATTCTATAAGGTTCTAAGCGACACAAAGATCCATACCCAAACTTCATAGACAGAAATCCATCAAACATGCTTCAAAGAGGTTCGGTACACCACAAGTAATGAACAACATTGATCATAATTACTTAGGCTCGGCAAACCTTAAAACGTGGATCAAACACAATCTTCGGCAGCTCCTTCTCCCATTTTGAGAATGGTGCCACCCCTCTTTCCTTGAGCATCTCCTGCGCATTACAGAAAGGAGGAATATATTAAAGCATCTACTGCTGCTTCAGCAACCATAGTTAGCAAAATTAAGGGCATACAGTTTTCGTTTTCTGATTCCCTAAATATCGCTGAATCCAGATGAGGAAAAAAAACCACACCTTGAATTGTACAATGCACTCCTCCTTTGTTGGCCCATTGTCTTCCTCTGTATCTGATGATGAATCTGACATGTTACCATCCTCGTTTGTGTCTTTTAGTTTCTCTTTGCTACTTTCACTCGGCATGCCCTTAGCTGTAGCAGCTTCAACAGCTTTTGATCCATTAGATTCAGACGTTAGTACTCCTGATGAAACTGGAGCAAGGGATGAAGTTACCGGAGATCCAGAGTCTTGCAGCTTCTTTTTTATCAGATCCAATGCAGATGATGTCCCTGGCATACTTGAGCCTCTCAAAGCCAAGGCATCACGGCCACCAGTGGCAATTGCCGGAGTACTTAAACTGACTGTAGTAGATCCTGTATCAGTGGAGACATTAGCCTGTGGGGCTGGCATTGCTTGTTCTTTTAACACATCATCCTGCTTCTTTCTCCATTCCACCACCTCATTTGGGACCTGCCAGCTGCTTACCTGGTTGAAATGGAATGCAAGTTGTATTACATACCTAACAGACCCCAAAGATCAGGATTAAGGAGTTGCTACCTACTTTCACTAACATGGTCACACAAAACTTCACATAACGCATGCACACTATATGTACATATAATTGTAGGCCCCTCTGTCGAATCAATCTTACATAGTAAAAAGGTAAAAACACAACAAAAGAATAAAAAAGGAACTTCTCATACAGCAGGTCATAAACTTTATGAACACTTTCATCACCATTAAAATTATTCACGAGGTAGGCCTATCCAAATAGGCCAGCTTTTCATTCTGAAAGTAAACTTGCAAGCAGAAGCTTGCAGAATGGTCTATATCTAACTCGTATATACCAGTTCAACATCTCATGTTTTCTTGAAACGGATGAATTGAGGGAAGTTCGCATCACAGTTTGAGATGCTTATATATAATCCCACCTTTGTTATGTTGTTGTAGTAATACTTCTTTCCGTCATTTGTGGTGACCAAGGCCCAATGTGTCCCAGCTAAATTCTCCCTGCAAATAAGAAGGTATGAAGCTCCAAAAATCACGATTAAGAGTCAATCCAAAAACTCGACAGATAATGAGAAAATGGAACTATAGATCAGTCAAAACAAAATAATCAAGCCAAAACAGGAATGGCAAGAGTATAAGTCTGTTGATGAGAATATAAAATGCTTGTGTGATATGGCCCTAGAAACAAAAAGGAACGAAACTCTACAAACTATTATTAATTCCAGTGAAAATCACAAGATAATGGAATTATAGATCAGCCAAAATAAGACAAGCTAGAGTTTAAGGGATATGTTGACGCAAAGACAAATGCCAGTTGGATTCAATCACTTAAGAAGTGGAGAAAAATTATCAGATGTTTGAAACTTGAATGAGAAAAACGACAGGAATATTTAACCAGTATTACAATGCTCACAGCCGTGAGCAATGTCAATACCAGAAAGAAGTCATTTTGGTCATGATTGGTTAATTTCATTAATGATTAAAAAATGGCAGCAAAGCTACCTCCCCCAAACAAGTTGCCTGCCTTCCATTATCAAAGTTTGATGCAGAAATAACCAAAGAAACACATGTCTCAGTTCCTGGGGAAAAAAAGTGATAACCAAATAAGTAGGTAAGCAACTTACATTGATACTGGAAGTGGCTGACCCGCAACTCTATCTGGCTGCATCCATGTAGACGGAAGAACAAACAAAACCATCAAAATTCAAACAAGAAAGCTAATATAGACTGTTAAATCTCGTTAGGCATCGATCTTTGTAGTCTTGTTAATATAAAGAGATTTTCAGTTGAATGGTATAGTTGTTATACTAAACATACCTCCGATTTAAAACCAGGAGGTTTTTCGTAAGTGGATACTCTCGACACAGCATTGTAATAGTATGTAACTCCGGTGTCAGTCTTGTGAGCAGTCCAAGCATCTGACGCTTCATTAGGAGCACCATTACCCTTCATGTCAGGGTCAAGGGAATGTCTGTTGGTCTCTGCAAAAAATTATGCCAAACTGAGGATGAAAAAGCTCAATCCGAACTACTCCAACGAAAAATAACCAATTCCTTACATTGGAATCCTGGGCATACCAATTCCTGGAGGAGTTAATTCTGTCTGGGTCCCTGGAGGCCGCACAAACTGCTGACTTGAAGCCGTCGGCAAAGTCGCAGGAGGAGGAACCATATGAAAATTCACACCCATACTTGGCACCGGTAAAACGCCAGGAAAAGGGCGGGGGTTTAGGTTAGGGTTTCCAGGTCCTGGCAAAGGAAAATGACCGGAGGGGAAAACGGCAGGCGGAGCATACGGCAGAAACGGTGGCTGCGGCCGCATCATGCCAGGAACTTGTTGTGGCATTGGCTGCAACCAAATACCTTGTGGCGGAGGAGCCGCCGCGGGAGCAGCCATTGGAGGAGGTTGGAAAGAGGGAAACCCAGGGTACATTTGCTGAGTAACTACAGCTCCAGGAGGCGGCAGGCCGGCGGCGGCGGGCCTCTGTTGAACTATGGATGACGCCGCAGGGTCAATAGGGCTAGGTGGAATCGACATTGAGACGCCAGCCCCATGATTTCCAGATACCAAGTCGGACAAAGAAGCAGAAGAAAGGGTAGAAAGTGGCAGCGCCTGTGAAGTCAGCGAAGAAAAGGCTGGAGAAGAAGAAACATTCATCGTAGAGTCTGACGAAGAGAAACTCAGCCGGCGGCAACCGAGATCAATCGATTGGTCACCCCCGCGAATAAAATAGAATTTGAATTAGCACTAGGTCAGATAGGCGTCGCCCTTGGAGACCGTGGGTGCCCCTCGGAGCAGTAGATGAATGTCACCCGACGAAGACGAAGACGAAGACGAAATCGAAATTGACCGGCAGGGGAACTAACAGAATAACAGTCGAGGAAGAAATCAGAGAAGAGGCAGCCAGCAACAGCTCCCAAACCGGCTCTCTCTGGTGTATTCTCCGCGGGCAGAGTTTTTTCCCTTTTCGATCAAATTTTTTTTGAGGGCTGGCAATGTGCGGGGTACCGGATTCTCTAATTAAAGGGTTCACTTGACTAAACACCTTCCGGCCTTTACATCTACATATACAAATATGACGGTTAAAAAGTAGGTGTTATAAACGCGCTGCTACGGATCGGGAAATCGCATGAATCGATAAAGTAAGAAAACGAAAGCGAAAATCGAAAAACACAGATACACGATTTACATGGTTCACTTACACGATGTGTGTTAGCTACGTCCACGGGCGAGAGAGAGCCAGTTTTACTATATCGAGAAGATTACATATTACAGAGGAGTATGAGAAGTATTTATAGTACTTCTCCATGTGGGTCTAAACCTAATCCAATCTGACAAAGGAAACGGTTACAGACCAGGCCCAGAACCCGAACCCAAATAACATTGAGCCCATACACCGTGGGCCGGAGGCGTTGCCCCTAGATCCCACTCGCTGACCGGTCAGCGAGACCCCCGATTATCAGTCGTAGCGGTTGATAGTCCGATTCAAGTCACATCAACAGTAGGAAAGACTTTTTAATTTATAATAGAAGTAATTGGGATATTATGGAAAATTGTGAAGTATACAAACCGGATTTACAAACAGTACAAATCATACAAACATATGAATAGTACAAACAAAACATACAAAATTTTACAAACAATACGAAACATACGAACTAGACCGACAAACATTACAAAATGCCACTGCTTACAATACAAAATAGTAAACTTGTATTACAAATCAATAAATACAAAGCATACAAATCATACCATAAAAGTATACAAACTAGACAAACAAACATTACAAATTGCAATATATACAAAATAGGCATATAAACATTACAAACTAGAATGATAAACGAAACAAACAAAATCGATACAAACATTACAAAATAGTTCGACAAACATCATAAAACTGCTCTCTCTCTCTCTCTTACAGCAGAAATATGGTTCCCATATCCCCAAAGCCACCGCCGAAAAAGCTCTCCGCCGGGGAGAATTAATCAACCCATGGGTGGAAGTAGGACAGCTCCACCGGTGGGCCCAACATATTTTTACTTTAATGATTAAATGAATAAATTGTGTAATTACTACATTGTCCTTCATTAAATTGAATTAATCTGAACCATTGGATTTTAATGAAGTATAAGGCTTGGAATTTACTTAGTCAGGTGACTAAGGGACCCCCTGGTCACTTGATCCTAACCCCAATGTGCGGGCCGAACGGGTATCTCAATATCCATGTCCCATTCGAGGTACTATGCGTCGATCGTATGAGTATGAGACGGAACGAGTCGACTCACTCTTACATGTTATTTGAAAAAAATGCACGTAAATTTTTACTTTTTATGATAAAACGAATGAAAAACACTTTATGAAATAGTGATAATAAATTGCGTCTAACTAGTCGAAAGATCAAGTCTAATTAGTTAAAAAAAAGTCAAAATAGGAGAAATATAATAGATAATGTGAGAAATTGAGATAAAATGATCTCAGAACGGGATGTGGCAGGTGAGAAGCCTCTGCTCCGTGCTATTGCGAACAGGACAGGTCAGATACCCATGTCCCGCCCCATACTACTGCGGGTAGGATAATACCTGCCCCTTCGCAAATCAGATCAGATAATACACTTATCGTTGAATTTGCCATCCCTAGGTCGATTGCACAAGTTTTCACTTTTCAAACCATTAGTTTTTTCGTCCTAGAAATTACCACCAGTCCAAAGATGAAAGAGTAATTTTCCTTGGTCAATCTACCTCACTTTTTTCCCACATAATTTTCACTTTTATCCACCATCGAAGAAAAAAGAAAACAAGGTTACACAGGAAAACCTACATATAGAATATTGATGCAATTATTTGTTCCGGGACATAATACATTGGTTCGCATTTGAATAGAACATTAGATACGGTAAACAAAATTATATTATAATTTTAGTTTTTATTACAATGTCAATTGTACATTATTGTCTTTTAATTTAGCAAATTCATCAATAATGGAGTCTTTATCCATACCAATAACATACTCCCTAAAAGAAAATAGTTAAGCAATCATCAAGAAATTCATCGCTCATTTTGTTACGCAATAATTTTTGCATGTTTAATTACTAAACATGTTCTCTTAGTAGTAGTCGTTGAGACGGACTATGTTAACACTAAACGAATCAACTGACAAATCAATTTGTATTGTGTGTCCATCCTTGTTTCCACCACCTTCTCTAGTAATTTTGTAAAGGAAGGAACTTCATATTCCTGACTACGAACCACATGAGCAGCAATATCGTAGCTCATTCTTCAAAGAATGCATCTAATAGCCTTCAAAGTCTCGAGGATACACTCTTGATCAAGTTTGTAATTTTTTCTTCATCAAAAGACCAAAAAGAATTTTTATGATCTAGTGCACCACTCAACTGAAGCAAATCTAAATGATGACTCAACAAATTTGTAAATATTTTCTTCATCAAAAGAGTAATGGAAAGAAAACCAACGTCTGATAAATTGGCGACAAAATTTAATTCGGGTCTGTTTGTCCCCTCGTTCTTATATTGTTTTTGTGGGATTAGGGAAATTTTTTAAGTTCTGACATAGAAGGGCGATGTTTAGTTTACAGGTTTTTTATTTTAATGAAATTTTATACTTTCAGTTTTTTACATGTAAAACTTTTAGGTTTTATTGCTTATTATTTTATTATATGAAAATCATTGGGGCTACAATTTTTAGGTTAAATGTAGAGTAGTGGTTTGGATATGTTCATTGAACCATTTTCCTAGTTACACAAAATCTTATCATAAGATAACATTGACTAAGGCAAGTGTACCTGTCGTAGAAGAATACAGTGGCAAGCAAGGTCGTATCTAGAGGGACAATGACTACTAGTAATGAGTTATATTCATATTATCACATTGGATCTGTTAGTGTTTGTGTTTTAATTAAGATTAACTACTAAAGCACAAAATTCAAACTACAACGCAATTTACCAACGATAAAACCAAGCAAATAAATAGTTGTTTAGATTCGAATCCCCCTAGCTCGTTATCGAGAATCAACCTAACACAATACAAATGCAATTTACCAATCCCAGACTGTAGGAATTCCCAAATTGGTGTTATATAAACTTATCTTCTCGTGTATTAACACCCTATTAGTAGTGACAGTGATAGTGACAGTGATAGTGACAGCAGTGGCGCAGACGATGGACCTGAACTGGAGCCTTTTGTGGCGACACTTCAGGCCATGCAGGAATATGGTTCTGAAGATGATGATGTGATTCTTAAGGGGAGCCTTCATCTAAAGATTGTTCTCTTGCTTTCTAGTTAGATTTTCTTAAGGGGAGCTAATCTTGTGAGATGTTGGTTCGGTTCGGTTCGGTTGGATGTGATCTTTTGGATTATTTCTGTTTTGGTCACAGATTGTTGGAACTTGATATTTTGTATCGTTATGTTGATTGCCTTTTTACATGAATGTCTTAAATGTCTTTTGGTCGAAAAGAAGTATATTTTTTTGCACTTCTGATTTAAGGAGAGATTGTAAAAAAACTTTCTAAATCATAGTTGCTCTACAAAAGGAAGGAAGATAGCGCATAATTTCCTTCTCTGGTTCGGCAAAAAATTTAAATACAACGGTCAGAAAAGAGAAGGCTATATAAACCAGTGCACTTCGCTAGAAAAAAGCATCTTTGTGGAAAACGTTATAGGACATGTGGGAAAAGAGGGTCAATTGTGATAGAGGAAAATGTTCTATCAAATTGACGCTTGTAAACGGGTCTAGAATTTGGGATCTAAGTGTTCTACATTGTTCAACATGAGTCTTCTCTTTCTTGAGTATGGAATCTTCTTGAGTATCTTGCTTGATAAAATAACTAAATAAAAAAGAGTCTCCTCGTGGGTACTGATTCTAGGACAAGGATTGACCAGTAGTTTGGGAACCTCGTTAAAACTTCTGTGTCCATTTACTTTCCTATTGTGTACTTCTAGCATTTTCCTTAGTACTCTATTTTCATTTGATACTATGTCTCTAAGGAATTTTGTCCGAGGAAGAATACAAGTTACAGGGGTGTTATGGTTTAGTCCTCTAGTCGGGCCTGGCCACTCTTCAACCCATCTTGTCTTTTATTTAATTAATTATATTTGTGGGCTTGGTGACTACTTGGGCTCAAACTAAAGGAGCCTAAGGGACGAGTGTCGAAGACACAAAATCTTCTATCTTTCTCATCTCCTTCCTCAGTCTATTCGTCCCAAATTCACTTAAACCCTAAATTTTTCTAATCCCCAATCCGATTTCAATTGGGTGGGATTAGAAAACTTGAATAGGGACTTCTATTTAGTTTGGAAATCCTACAGTATATGCTAAGTGTGAATTGTGCTAGATGACTCGCACAAAACGACACCACAAATTAATCCCGACTAGAGCCCAAGTTTTTAAACTCTAGTCGGGTGCAGTATAGAGCAAGTATTTAAATTGTCAACCCGGGCCGATCCATGTACCCCTACTTCATCGCTTAAGTTGTTATCTAGCAAAACGGTTTTGGGGTTTCAAACTAAGAAACTACAAACTAAACAAGCAAAGAAAAGTAAATAAAGGAAAACTCTAACTAAGGGAGCTTTACCCAGTAGTTGTTTCTCCCTAACTAGCTACCGTGACTCGCTGGACTGAAACAATTGCTATGGGCAAGGTAAC